TTTTTTTTTTGTATTGATTACTCGATGAAAGGAGGTGAAATCGAAGAGTATGTAAACCTTAAAACGGGCATCTATTCTCTCTATTCTGACGGCTCAAACGGCGCGAGGCTCGACCGTATGAACTTTAGCAAGCCGTTACGCAAAGGTCTCACTGGCCGACTACCCATCTTGTGCGCCCAGGTGTCTCTGAAGGAGACCACCTCCTCCCAGCGTGCCTTGGAGAGCCAGCTGATGAGCGCCCGCAACGTCGACTCGAGCCGCGACTTCCGGATGCGGGAGTTGGAAGGACGCATCAGGGCTCTGGAGAAGGAGAACGAAATTCTCCGACAGAAGGTAGCCGGCCACCTTCGCTCCGGCCTTCGGTCAGGCCTTCTCACTTTAGCCTGAAAGTCTCTGAAGTTGTTTCCATCTTTCCGCCTCCACCTCGCAGCAATTAGGCCAATCTAACAGCAGCACGCTGCACATCAAGACCGAGGAGCTGTCGCGGCAATTCAACGAGCAGCTCAGCATCATGAAACAGGAGAAGGAGCAAGAGATCCAGCGGCTGCGGGTGAATATGTTGTATATTTCAGAACCAAAATATTCAACAGAACCACAGCATTTAATCGGACTAATGTCTGAATGCTAACTCATTCAACAAAATGCCTTAGGCAGGCTATTCCAAGTGCGTGAACGGTTCACCCGACACAGGATCGATACCGGTTTTGCGATACTGGGAAAGGGAAAGCTCACCCGTTTTTGTGCTTCTCCCTCGTTCCAGACTCAGATTACGAGGCTCCAGACGGAGATCACCACCGAGAGGACGTCATCCGCATCGGAGAAGACCCTCCAGCTGAAGATCTCGGAGCTCCTCGCCATGCTGGAGCAGCGGCAGACCACCATCACCAGACAGGAGGAGGTCTGTGACAACATACGCGCTCATGTAGCATTTCCAACTTAAGGGATCTAAGATCAGGTATCGGTATCGGTCCGATACTGGGCTTATTTGAAGTAGAATGTTGTTTGCGGAGGCTGCTGAAAATCAAGTAAGTGTTCATTGGCAGTAACTGGCGCTATACTGCAGCAGTTTGACACATTGGCAAACTATCCTCTCCATCAGCAAGAAAAGTCTTTGTTCACAATTTTTCGTCATCGTGTTCAATGAAATTTTCTACATGAAAAGTGAATGTGGTCATCGGTAAGTACTTAAAGAGTGAATAACCGTAGTGGTATCGGGGGGGGGGGGGGGGGGAACAACGCAGTGGAAGTGATGCTCACACGTGATGGAATTCACTTCAGAACTGGACAAAACGACATTTTGATTACAATTTTGCCATATGTTGAGAATTTAGCTGGGAAATAGACAAACACCAATGAAGTTGGGACATTGTACAAAAGATATAAAAACAAACAATTATTTGCAAATCTTTGGGCACTCCTAATGCGAGTTAGCGTTGTGCTAACATGTCGCGTCAAACCCAATAGACGGGCTAACGGAAGGAAATGAACATCATAATAAACCTTCAAACAAGCACCCCTGCTTCATACACCGAGCAGCAACACATACAGAGCACGCGGCAATACAAAGGCTCGGTACACACTGTACATTCTGATTTGGACCCGACTAGTCATTGTGGCAAAGTAGTTTGATGTGCGTGATGACCACTTGAGTGCACGTGCATGAAGTGGCTTGAATTCAGTGATGGGAGAGGGTGGGGGTCGAGAGGGAGGAGTGTGAGTGTGTTTGCACGAGAGAGAGAGAGAGAGAGAGAGAGAGAGAGAGAGAGAGAGAGAGAGAGAGAGAGAGAGAGAGAGAGATCAAGAGAGTGCGAGAGAGAATACAGCGCACACAGCCATTCATCTCTGGAGAAGAGACACGGGCACTACAACGGGGCGGGAAACAATTTGTGCCTCCCATCCTGTTGACTTGGATGCACGTTGTTACTTTTGGAACCCTCTGCCAAGCGTGAAACCTGCGCCTCTTGCACATTTGCGACTTGCTGACTGGCCAGCATCCTCGGACGGCTTGCGCGCCGGCTGATTTTCAGAAGAAGAAGAAGAACAACAACAAGAAGAAGAGGAAGGCGGCGGCGGTGGTGGTGGGGGAGGAGGTGACCTCAGGAGGACGCGCAGGGATCCCAGCTCCGGGAAGAGGAGGAGGAAGAGGAGGAGGAGGAAGAAGAGGGCACATCCTGCTGATCGAGAGCATCCATGAAGCCCTTCTTTCCTTCCATACACGCATGCATGGACATTTAGGAATTATTTTCACATCCACTAATGACAAAAACTTAAGTCAGTGCACGGCGCCCTGTGAAGTGAGTTACTCGAGTTATCACAGATGCATTTTGTAAACCTACATTAGTTGATGTGAGGGATCATTTGCATATAAAAAGGACAATAAGGACAAGCCGCACACGTGCAACATGGATCTCAATCGAATCAGAGGTAAGTGCATCGCTTCGAAAACTACAGAAGTTCATGTGTATGTAGTGGGGCCCCAAAAAAATTATTTAAAAAATCAGGTGGCCATTACTTTGAAGCGACAGACGTTTACAGTCACATTGTGGAGATCCATGGAGGCGTCGAGGACTCCAAATCACATCATGGAAGTGTGTGTGTGTGCAGGTTTTATATGGTGCAAGGACACCGAGACAGATTCGTGTTTTCAACCTGGAGATACAGTCGCATTTTTGAGTTTGTATCGGCTAAAAAAATATATATATTAAGGTACGTTGCACATTTTGTGCTGTTCACAAAGTTTCGAAAACACTTTCTAGCACGTCAAATAAACCCCCCAAAATATTTTCATCATTATATTTATAAACATCGTAAATATTAAGTTGTCCCATGACAATATTAACCAGAAATCTGGTGCCCCATAAGTGTCATTTTTGTCTCTGTGCGTTCTGGAATTCATAACTTGTTGAAGTGTGCTTTGGATGTCGAAAATCATGGTGATTGCCTCTTGTGTCCTGGGGGCCAAAACTCCCAACTCCATAATTGAAGGTTGTGTGTATGGATGTCTTGTAGTCAGTTGTACACACTTTAGTCTCCATGAGGTGATGAATACGAGAACAGAAAATCTGCACAGTCCCATCATGGGGACCAAAAAAATCAGCTCCCTTATACTGTAATGGAAGGTTATGTGTGTGTAAGTTCTGGTATTTGTCATTTAATGGGGACAAAAGTCTGGATACAGAAACTCTTTCATAGGGAAAAATGTTTGGCAAGACAATCACGTCATAGTGTTGGCTTGCCGGGTGGAGTGCAAAAACCTGGGCATATTTCAGTCATCTCAAGACAACCTGTTGAAGCAAAAGGACCAAAAACACGGCCCGATAAGGAAAGAAAGGAAGTGTCGGTTTGTAGCGTGGAGACTAAAAATCACAATCCCGATAACGGAACTTTGCGTATGTATTCTGTTTTTGTCTCGTCATGGGGACCAAAAATCCTGCCCTTCCCATAATGGCTGTTTGCGTAAACGTGACTGGGACACGCTTGCAGGGGTTGCCATTGATTGTCCTCAAGGTCGGATGTAGAATGTCGATAGCCATCTCCGCCGGGGGTGGGCCGATAGATGATGGGATGGAGTGACGTTT